AAAGTCGATAAAGGAGAAGGTCCCAATCACTTAACTTGGCTGGCAGAAGTCACCTTTCTTACGACAGCTTCTTAACAATTTGGAATTCTCACGCCGTCAATTATATCCTCTCGGAGAAGTGTTTATGTCGTCCCCAAACCATTTTATTTTACTTAGTACACACAATTTATCCAACGAACATACATTGTGAGTGTAAAAAATAAATTGCTTTGGCAGCGAACCAATTTCTGAGAATTTCGTATGTTTTATCTTCGAGCTGATGCGTGGATCCCATTTCTAGCTCTATACTTTACGTAAAAAAGCCATCCCATTTTCATATATTTGCCCTTTATTCGATGCATTCTTACACTCGAAATATTTGTCATCGGCCTCTTTCGCACTCTTAACCTCACGAAATCAGCCCCGAGCGACCGCCACAACTATATCTCACGATTAAGCAGCCACATTAGCGCCATTCTTTTTTATTAAAATTGAACAACGTTCCGACTATTGCATTCGCCGACTAGAAACTTATCAAGAATAAGGATGACTGCAACGTTATTGCCGTTCTCCTCCCTGATTGCAAACGGCCTTATCAAGCAAGAAATTTAAACACTGGCGAACCAAAGCAAGAAAACTCGTGATTTGTTCAACCTATTATCGCTTTTAAGTGGGTATCATAAATATGTTGCTTGTTCTAAATTGCTCACTTCTACCAAATCTTAAGCGAGTTCTGTGCCTTCTGAATTTAACCAAAATTAATCTTTCCGTTTTCCTACATATTCTTTGTCGCGGTTTTTACGTCCAATTTCCTAAATGCCCGCCATGCTTTAAAAGCACTTTGTCTTTCGAATTGTTCCAATTTTTTGTAATACTTGCTGAAGTTGCTATGAACAGCTTTACACCTTAAATTTGTCATTTCAAAATTCACACATGCTTTATTCCCTTATTATACAATTTTTTTTTCTATTTAAATCAATAACATACACCCAAAATGTAGTTTCTCCACCAATAACCACAAGTATGTTTGATTGAATGCCAAGCAGAATTACAAACTTTGTTAAAATAAAACTTTATATTGGCGATACTGACTTCTACACTTTCTGCAATAACAGTTCGTAATGTGATTGCTTCATCGATCACTCTACCCTAAAAGAGAACGTTGCTATGAGAATAAACTAAAATTTATACATATTATTAAACTTATTTACACATTTACACATAAGTAAAGTGTTTTTTTTTTTGCTTATTTAAAAAGTAATATCAAATACTTACATAAAACTTTTTTATATGATAATCAACTTTTCAAGTAAAACTAGTTACTATGTTTCTAGTGTAATTTTTATATTTCCTGTGATAAGAAGGCAAACAGAAGTAACAGTGCTATAACAAGTAAAACAATATCAAATTTAGAGCGTTTATCGGATAAATTTGACGTTTCAAATAAGCAAAGATCTAAAGCTTAGATGTCGTTCTCAGAAGTAATAGTTAATTAAATGCCACAAACGCATGATTTCAAAAGGTCGTATTTTTGGTAGATACACCTACTGCTTAGTAATCAATAAAAATGTCAGCTAAAAATATTTCTTATCAAAGGTTTCATTAGAATCACTAGTATGACGTCAGTAATAAGTTAGCATTAATGTTCATGATTTAAGGAATAGTAGACTAATTTAGTATATCTTATAAAGAACTAAGAACAATTTTGGCAAAATATGTGTTAAAGTATGTACAATGTCCATTTTCTTTAAATAATTGTCAATGTCAAAATTCTCTCAAAGACCAGAGTATGCCTCCTTAAAACCTTTCTTTTCGGAGCATCTGTACCTGTATATTAAAAATCTCCCTGGATTAGGCTAGAGGTTATATTAGTAATCTTCAAATGTCAGAAAATGTTTTATCACAGGACAAGAAATAACGACAATAAAGACACGGAAAATGCAACTGCTGAATGGGAAAAATGTATTTAATGGGTAATATAAGATTTTACTCATTTTCAGAATCTGATTTAAAATTTTCAAACCACCAATCGTCTTCCGAATCTGATACTGTCTCAAGAGTAGGAGTTTTTACACAACCAAAATTGTCAAATTCATAACGACTTTAAACATGGTTGGTTATTCTGTCTGCATATATCCACAAAATCTAATAATAAGTAGCTATTTTTGTTGTTGTATTAGGGTCCAGATCCTTGTTTTGAAAAACTCATTTTCTTGAGATAAAACACAATTTTACAATAATTTACTCAAAAATTTATTATAATTTTATTAACTTTTACGAGAGCTAGACTAAAACTGAGTCGTGATAGTATTAATTTTCCTCAAAAACGGCAAGATTTACAAAAAAACCTTTTCATAATAGTTCCGTTCTACAAGGCCTATCGGGGTTCGGGGCAGCGTATTCCTGCCATCCGCAACGTCACAGAAATAATCCTAATAATACCAACCAATTCCACCTTCACCATTTTCTGAGCCTTTTACACTGTACTTTTTATTTTAAATTTAAAAGTAATTGCGGCTTCAGTAGAACAAACGCTTTCATAATAAAACGGCTGACTGTCAATTGACATTTTACGTTGCCAACGAAATAACCTCAAATAACTAGTGGCTGAAACCAACATGACAATTGTTTAAAAAAAAAAGGACTTTACTTATACAAAAGAGCAGACATTTGTTCAAGGCTCAGTAGTAAAATTTAAAAATTAAGTTAAATTAAAAACAAAAAAAACTACTGAGATTAAAAAGTAAGACTACAATAAACTTGGAAAAGTGCAAGAAACACAATCCAAAAATGTTATAAGAGTTAAAGAATATGAAAAGGCGTGAATATAAATGATTAAAATTTTAAACGTAAGATTGTAATAAATAATAAAGCAGTAAAAAGAAGAATGTAACAAATTATAACAATATATACCAGGTGAATAAAAAGTATGGAACCAAACGCTTTTTGCTTAAACTATTTATTTTTTGAAAAAACTAATTGATGAGTGATAAACTACTATAGAAATGTGATGATTTAAAAAGAATAACATTTCTCGAAATTTGTTTTTGTTTTTGAGTTACACAAAAAAAATATTTTTTTAAATGGCAAGCCACTATAAAATCATTTTTTTCATAAAAGCTATACTCTAAGGATTACAACTATCTGCTTTATATTTAATTTTTTCAAAAAAATTTTTTCACATAAATTGCAATTTTGACAAAAAAAATCGCATAACTCAAAAACAAAACAAAATTTCGTTCTGAAAATACGATCACATTTTTTTATATTGCTTTAATTTATATTAATTATTATTTTCTGAAGGCAAATGATTAAAAATAAAACCGCTTGGTTCCATACTTTATATTCACCCTGTATTTTTCTTTATAATAAAAGAAAAGTTGAAAAAGCGTAAATAATAGTAAGAGTACCGTAAACATAAAAATTAAGTAGCCTAAATAATTATATTATAAAATAAAATTTGATAGTAATTCTTCAAGCTAAAAAGCAACTTGTGGCAAGTTCATAACCTTTTGTATAATGCTTGAACAAATATTTGTACTCCTATACTGTTATAAATCAGTACGGAAATTAATTTGATTTCAACTCAAAATTTTAAATGAGGCTTGAAAACTTTGAAATGTAGAGTGTTTGCATTTCCTATCAACTGCAGTTTTAGCTTCTTTTGTAATTAAGTTTCGAAGAAAACATTACAATGTTAAACTTCTAATTTAAAATTTATTTGATAATATTAATTTTAAATTCTGGTTCTTGCTTATGTTTGTATGGGTTACAATTCAAACCTTTTTAGTAGAAAAATTTAAGTCCCATGGTGCTAATAACTTAAAAAATAATGTAGGTATGTTTTCCAAC